AATTGTTTCACTTCCATGTAAATGTTAAATTTAGCTTCTCAGGGTCCAAAAACATTACATGTGTGTGGTGACTTAGCTTTGTTCCAGTTCTGAGTCTTTAGTGCATGCATGTGGATCAATTTACCGCTTACAGATCTTGAATAATATCTAATTTTACTTTAAGATTCTTTATTTTTTTGGTACCAGAGATTGAGCTCAGGAGTTTGAGTTTGCTAGGCAGGTACTTATTCAACAAATCTATCTCCTCTACTCTAAGATTTTTTTTATTAATCTGGGCGTGGTGGCACATATCTATAATCCCAGCACTAAGGAGGCTGAGGCAGGAGAATCTTTGTGAGTTCAAAAGCATCCTCGGCTACAAAGTGAGCTCAAGGCCAGTCTGAACTGCATAGTGAGACCCTGTTACAAAAAGACAAAAAAAAGTTTATTGTAAGCATAAAAGAAAGATAAAGTACAACAGATTTTATCATACTGTTTTTTTCTGACAATTTGACTAAATTAAATAATCAAAAAAATCTTTAAAATTTCGTGAAAACGATGAGAATCTTGTTCATTCATTCTGATCTTCTTTCCTCCTTTCTTTTTGTCGTTTTGCTGTGTCGGGCAGCACGGTTGAGGAGAAATCTTGAGGGCTGTGGATCCGAGCCACATGGATAACCTGAAATTTTCTAACAGCTGCATGAAAAATCTGAAAGGAACAGATTAAATTTTTTTTACAATATACTTCAATTATTTAATGTATCAATGATATTGTCACTTCAACATGTTATTGATATCAACATAAAACTGAGACTTTCAAGTGAGTGTTTTATTTAAGACTGAAATCTGGGGTGTATTTGACTTTCCTGTCCCATTTGGTTAGCTAGTCACAGTTCAGATGCACAGCGCTCCCTGCGGCTGCTGCCTGTCAGGGCTGAGAACAGGTATCTGATCTTAGTGGGACATGTCACAGAGATGAGGACCACAGCCTCTTTTCCTTCTCCTGTCTCAAGGGGATGCCTCGAACATTCCACCATCAAGTAGGATATTCACTAGAGGTTTTTACTTTTGCAAATGCTGGGACAAAGACATTCCCTGTATTCCTAGTTTGCCATGATTTTAAAAACATAACAGATGTTGACTTTTTCCTGGGGCTGTGGCCATGCTTTTTTTTTTTTTTTTTTTTTTTTGGTGGAACCGGGGATTGAACTCAGATCCTTGTGTTTGCCAATTAAGCGCTTATCCTACTGAGCCATCTCCCCAGCTCCTTGTGGCCATGCTGATGTGCCTTCTACCACTGATCTAACGTGGTGAATCCCGCTGGCCGAGCTAGTTTTCCAGCTTTCTCTCTCCTCTCCTCTCTCCCTTTCCTTCTTGCTTCCTTGTCCACCAGCGTTGGGGATGGAGCTCAGGAGTGCTTTACCAGTGAGCTGTACTGTATCCCCAGCCACCCTCTTCCTCCTTCTTTTTCTGGTAGGACTTTTATAAGTTGTCCGTGCTGACCTTCAACTTGTGGTCTTCTTGCCTCAGCCTCCAGAGTCACTGAGATTACAGTCTCGAGCCACTGCTCCTAGTTTAAATCGACTGATTTTCAAATGTTAAACCGGCCCAATTTTATTCCCGTGTATTTTTATGTACTGCCAGGTTACATTTGCTAATGCTTTGTAATGGATTGTCTCATATCTCTATTTCCAAGAGACAATAGTCTATAATAGTCCTCGTTTTTACTGTACTTGTCCTGTAAGAATTTAGGCGTAATTCCTTTGCCTATCATGTGGGGATGTTAGGGTTAAAACTGAATGATTTCTTCTTTAACCCACAGGTGAAACCCTCCTGGGTCTGGGTTTTTGTGCAGACGGTCACTGACAATCTTCTCCCTTCCTCTACTGATGCGGGGAGGTGTGAGGTTTAGCTTATGCAAAAGACTTCAGGTCAGTGATGTTCACACCAGTACACAGCCGCCCCGCCCCAGCTGTCCCCTGAGCAGGCTGTCCCAGATCCGAGAGCCTCTCTCATGACACATAAATCAGTCCACGCTAGGCACCAAGCTGCCACCTGGCATCTGCTCAGGGGAGGGGCTGGTTCCCGCACACTTCAGTGCCTCCACCAGGGTCAGAGCATTAACTGTGTCTTCTCTCTGTTCTCCTGGCGAATTTCACCAAAGGGCAGGCAGTACTAATTAGTCTTGTCCAAGAAAAAAAATATGTGTTTCCTACTTCATTACTCCATGACCTTACTCTCTTCTTGCCTTCCACATGATTTCTTTGGTTTATTTTGCTGTTCATTTTCTAGCTTTAATGAAATAGTTGGCCATTATTTCCAGACCTTCTCTTTTCTAAAATAAGTGTTAAAATATGCTAAGTGCTGTACTGCTTTAATAATAGCTGGCAATTTTAATATGTAATATTTCCAGTCTCATTCAGTTGAAATGCTTTCTGATTTCAGTTATGACTTTTTGCTCCATCAGTTACTTAAAAATATACTTCTTAATTTGCAAATGTATGAGGCTTCCAAATTTACACTCCAAACCTATGGGGCTACCTGAGTTATTGATCTCTACCTTATATGTTGACTTCAGGCTTTATATGATTCAGGCTTTTGGAATTTCTTTTGAAAACTGTTTTGGTACATTTTGAAAAGGAAAGTATGTTGCCATGGTAGACACTTTGTTATAGAAAAGTTCTTTATCAAATTTATTAATGACATTTTTCAAACCTAACTTCAGGAATATTTTTTCCGCTTGTTCTACTGATTAAAGAGGGATGTGTTTTTAAGTCTTTCATTTTGAGCCATTTATAATTGTGGGTTTGTCTATTTCTTGCACTTCTATTCTCTATGTTTCCAGTAAGGCTTTAGTGTTCGGATACATAGTTGAAATTGTCCTACCTTTCTGGTGAACTGTACCCTTCTATCAAGTAACCCTGTCTCTGGTGATGTCTCCCCCATATTAAAATCAAGTGCACCCACCTTCTTTTCGTTAGCATTTAGGCATCATTTCCTCCACAAACTTTCAACCACTTTGTAAGGATCTGTGTGTTTAGGAAACATCTACAATGCCATCGAATTGGATTTTATGGAGTCTGCTAAGCTTTGCATATTAACCACAACATATACTCCATTTTCATTCACTCGATTACAGAATCTTTGCCTTATGTATAACACGGGCTATAACATCTCCCACTTATTTGTCCGCTAGTTGGATTTATCTGTCTCTCCATTCCTGACTGCCTCAGGATTGCTTGGGTTGGTTTTCTTAGCCCAGTACTTTAGATCAGTATCACTGACTGTGTTGTCTTACTGTTCATCTTAGTATTGGCAACTTGGATTTTGTTTACCCCTCTTCACTATTCCTAAAGAATGTCAAGACTTAGAACTCTGTATCTCCACCCAAATTTATATGCCATGACTGTTGTGTATTTTAGTTCTATTTTTATCCAAAAGACAGTTGCTATTCTACATCATCAATGTTCTTCATTGTTCTTTCTTCCTTATTGCAAAAGACTTCAGTCTGATTATCTTCCTCCAGCCCAAAATTCCTTCGTTGGAATTTCCCTTGAGGAGGGACAAAGTCTTAGTGTTTGTATTTGTGAAAATCATTATTTCACTCTTCACAAAGACATTTTCACTGGGTTCAAAATTCGTGGTCCATCTTTTCACTGGATACATAATTCTAGGATGACGGTTATTTTCTCTCAGGACATTTGATATATTATCCCACCGCCTTTTGGCTTCTCTTGCTAAAAATATCAGGTGCAAATCTATCATTCTCTTTTCCTGTGCGCCACATTTCATTCTAAAAGAACTTGGGATCTACCAGATTTTCTAAACGCAAATGACCCAGTCACATGCGCATTTTACAAAGAGCGTTCAGGCACAGCGTGGACCCGGAGCGGTGGGGACCCGCACTTCGTGAGGAGGAGGAGGGTGTGGGGGTGACGGCAGGGAAGCTCCGGGCCACCACGAGGACGGCTTCCTGATCAGCCCAAGAATCTAGGACCGGCCGGGAGGAGTCCGGGGGACTCCGGGTTCTTTTTTTGTTTCGAGACAGGGTCTCGCTGCGTAGTTTAGGCTGCTCTTGAACTCGCGGCCATCCTCCTGTCTCATCCTCCCGACTGTGGCGATACAAGCGTGCATCACCACGCCAGGCAGACTTCGGGTTCTTGGCGGGGATAAATGGAAGCGCTGTCGGAAAACAGGGGGTAGGGATGGGCGGGGATAGTGAGTTCGTCTTGGGCCTCGAGAGCCATTCATTAGCTGGGCAGACAGCGAGCCAGGAAAAAGGCCCCCGTGCGTCTCCTCCGCCGTGGGGAGCTGCTGTCGGGCCTGCGGACCGTGCGGGCTGCTCGGCGTCCGGCGGGCCACCGGAGGCACCGGTCCCGATGCGCCGCTCCGAGGCTGGGTCCGGCGACGCCAGGACTCGACTCGGCCTTCCCCGAGCTCCGGCAGCGAGGGTCTGCGCCCCGTCCGGCCTCCAGCATAGTGGGAGGTGGGACAGTGTCCTCCACTCTGCGCGGGTCTCTTAGCTGCCCGAGGGGGGCAACTCCGCGCAGGTCTTCCGGAGTTTTCGGGGGTACTGGGGACTCCAGCCTTGGTGCTAACGAGCGCGGCGCTGGGCAGCGAGAGCAGCCGCGCCGGCATGAAGCGTACACACCGCGCCGCACCAAATAAGTCCCGCCGCCGCGGGCGGG